TCACGGCAGCAGAGAAAAACTACACCATGTGGGGGGTGCTGACACCCTCTGTGAAGTTGTTTGCGCCGTGTGGCTCACGTGTCTCGCCCTAAGGCCGCATATCGGGTGACGACTGCCAAGCGATAGATGACGTGTTCGCGTTGAGTACCACTGTTGGTAGAGTGGTAGCGCTGGCGGTGACCCCTGGCGGAAGGCAGGCCTTGGTGGCGGGCGAGAGTTGAGCGAGCCTCTTATGCACGTGGCAGTTGCCGCGAAGGGTTCTTTCTAGCATGGGTCCTCTGTGCACGGCACCGCGGGCCTGCGCATCGGGGGGGCCCACGTGGTAAGTCAAGCGTTGGCGACGCTGCTTTTTGTGTACTCTTGTGTTATGTTGTTTGAGTGTTTGGCAATTGTGTGTAAGGATGTTTTAGCGTGTTGATAACGACTGATGTATCAGTTGGCGGACGATATTGTCGTTGTAAATTAGTTAAATAAATATATGTTGTTGGTTTGTACCGACCGCGTCTGCTGTGTCCGTTCACTCCAAGAGCATGGCGAGGCGCTAGCCTCGTCGAGACCCCACAACCATCACCGAGCAGGAGTGTCTCACTGTTGTCTGGGCCATCCAGAAGTTTCGACCATATCTTCACGGCCGCCACTTTACCGTCGTCACTGACCACCACGCTTTGTGCTGGTTGTCAACGTTGAAGAATTTGTCTGGACGTCTCGGTCGCTAGATACTTCATCTCCAAGAATACGAGTTTGACGTTACCTACAAATCCGGCACGAAACACAACGATGCGATGCCCTTAGCCGCTGTCCTTTACCATCCCCATCAGGCACTTTTGGCCTGTCGCCAACTGTGAGTGAACCCATCAACACGTCGCCGTCAGTTCATTCACTCGCTGCTGTAGACTTTCTTTCTGCCTTTGGCAACGAGGCGTTTGCATTCTACTAACGCAGCAACCCTTACTGTCGCTCTATAATGCAGCGCCTTCAAGGCTTCTCTCTTCCTCCCAACGCCTGCGCCCATCGACAGCTGCGGAACGTCAAGACTGAAAACTCAATCCTTTACCGCTTTTGTCTTCCACCCTGAAGGACAGCAGTGGGTTCCTGTTGCTCCTCATTTCCTAAGGGCGCAGATTTTGGAGGCATTTCACGATGACCCCAAGGCTGGTCATCTCGGTTTCCAAAAAACCCATGAACGCATCCACAGTCGTTTTGCTTGGCCTGGGCTATCTACCTGCGTAGTACGATATGTTGCGTCGTGCTTACTCTGCCAACGCCGCAAGCGACCCACTTCCTCCCCGGCCGGTCTCCTACAACCTCTCCTGTGTCCTGACGCTCCCTTCAATGTCATTAGCATTGACCTCTACGGACCACTACCAATATCAGCTAGCGGCAATCGCTGAATTGTCACAGCAGTTGACCACTTAACACGGTACGCCGAAACAGCTGCACTTCCTTCAGGATCAGCAGAGGACATTGCCACATTTTTTCTGGAGGCAATCTTTCTAAGACATGGTGCACCACGCATCCTACTGAGCGACCGCGGCAAGGTGTTTCTTTCGAAACAACTTGAACAAGTCCTCCACGCATGTAACACGATTCATAAGACGACTTCCAGCTACCATCCCCAGAATAACGGCCTCACAGAGCGCTTTCATCGAACTTTGACAGATATATCTATGTATATCAACGCCGACCACACCAACTAGGATACCATCCTGCCATTCCTGACTTCTTTTGAGTACAATACCGCTATGCAGCGCACCACGGGCTATTCCCCATTCTTTCTCGTCCATGGCCATTAACAGACATCTCCGCTCGACATCTCTTTTTTTGACGTCCCTATGAACTTGTCATTGTCATCGAGTGAGCACCTGATTTCTCGCCTGGCGGATTGTCGCCAACGCGCCCGCCTCAATACAGAGGCAAGCCAACAAGAGTGGAAGACTCGCTCTTGTTGGTCAGTGCTTGCACCTTTTAGGCAACGGAGTTGCACTGTTTTTTATTTATGCCGAAGACAGACTGATGCTAGATAATAGTAATAATAACTGACTTTTCTGTGCCGCTCATGCTGGTGGATCGGGGCAACAAGTGCGAATCATAGACAGGTCATTGCACCCTAACACTGAAGTTTGTGAGTGAATCACACAGTAATATATCACACCTTGCCGAGTTCACTTGACCTGAGAAGCACTGGCACAATAAAAACAAAAAGCATGAAGCCTGCACGCTAGTCGCAGCGGCTGCTACAGCGTACCAACTTTTCCCATAAGAGGTTGCACGCCCGCGGGCGGCGCTAGTGTGCTTGAAAAAAGTCCATTGCTGTGGGCAAAACAGCCTTGCTAAGCCCTTGCGCCCAAGGGCATAGAGATGTGCGCTTGGTAAGTGCGATCTCACATCAGCCTCCCTAGAGAGGCCATGTTTGAGAGTGTCTTGGGCCTATAATCGGCAATGTAAAAGTACCTTTCAAGAAGCTCAGAATGCATGCAATGCTGAAAAATGGTTTTGTGCTAAGAGACAATGCTGGGTGTAAATTACAAGAAAATGATTTTTTTTCTCTCATGCTCAGTTTAGCAACACTCCACAAGCATGTGGAGAGCTTGTCCCCACATTTGTTGCACCAAGGCGGTTTACTACTACTCAACGAAAAATTTTGTGTACAGGTGGCATTCCGTAAAACCCTACTTTACACAATCAACGCACACCAAAGAAACAATGAAGTCACGCCTGCTAAACCCAACGCATTGAATATTTCACAGTGGTTCTTGGAATTAAAGCAATATGGCAATGAATACATTGCTGTCGAAGCATCAAAACATTAACGTAAAGCAAATACAAGCATGTGTGTGTAGCTTATGGGTTACACACCACATGATGATGACTTCATAAATTTAAAGTGGAGGACAACAGCTGCGATGGGTGCAGCCGTTTTGTTTTCAGCGATGCTGTTTGCTTTGCTCACTCTACGCATGAGAGCAGAAGCGTGGGAGACGCCGAGCAGATTACGCGAAGCGAATGAATACATGTCGAGGAGCTAATCGTTCTTCTTATTGGCTAAGAGGCCCTGAAGCTTTGACACTGCTGGAAAGAACTTTTTGAGACAGAGTATGGTTGCTCATTAAGCCTAGCATGCAAGTTAAGCCCAGCACAGTGATGTGATTGGCTGAGGACATTTTAGAACAAGTTCTCGGAGCAGCGAGAAGCATTTTTTTGGAGCAGAAAAAACTGCTTTTCGAGCAACAAAAAGTATATTTTAGAGAACCGGAAAAGGTCCTTGGAGCAGCCATAAGTACATTTCGGAGCAGGGGAAAAAGAGGCAACGCAAACGACCAAAAGCATAAATTAAAGCAGGAATAAGGCTGTCGGACACGATAAAGGGTCATTGCCTAGCGAGAAAACTAAGTTTATGACAACTAGAACAGCCAAATAAAATGTAAATAAAGAGCGTTCTATATCCATAACAATCCATGCATGCACAGCTCAGAATACTCAAAGCATAACAACGTATAGTGCAAGAACAGCTATGAATAAACTTTTCTTATGGTGTCTAGCCACCTGAGTTAAGTACGCTTTGCAATCAAAATGCACGACGAGCACTTGGATGTACACGAGCAGTAGTTGCACCACATTGTGCCAGAGACTGCTCTCAGGGGGCATATAAGCTTAACTTTATAGTAGGCATACTGAAGAATGTTGCACAGCACGATCTAGAGGCCTTTGATTACCCCCTGAAATGTCATACAAACTTTTTGCATAGCAGAGTCTTCATTTGCATGTAGACGGCATTTACAGCACGCAGTGCCAATAGCTAATGCCGCTTGGCTGTGGTGGCTACATTACAGCACACAAAGTGACTAGTGAACGAAAAAAATCCCTTCCCTATGTGTTATCACCAGTCCGCTAACAAATAAGAGACAGTCGACAGCATGCTGAACTTTCAGCAACACAGAAGTACGCAGCGACTACGACTAGGCTGAATATACACTCAAACCTTGATATAACGAATCCGGAACGGAGTAAATAAAAAACAGTCTCGCAATAGATTTAGTCTAAACAATAATCCTTTATAACAAATTTTGGGATATAACAAACTCATTTTCATGTAAGATGAGAGTTTGTTATAATGAGGTTAGAGTGTAATAACAAAAAGCGCATTACTGAAATGGATTGAGTACAGGACACCAGTTTCATTACGAAAAGCTATAGTAGTGTTTGTTGCGACTAAAAATATTTTGGGGAGATAAATGGTACGATGTTGTGTAAAACAGAACTTTAACACAGATATTGCAAGCTTTACTTGAATGTGGGTAACAAGGCACAGGGACATGAAATTGTAGCGAAATGGCGCAATTTGCGCAGGTGGACCGCCACTCGATTCTCGGAATGCCGCAGCTGCTGGTCCTACAAATCTTGCTCATTTGCAGTCTCTGGAAAATAGTGTTTTGCTTATATGGCGATTTACATTACATGTGAACGTTACACCCCAGCACCTGTATAAAAAGTGTTTACTTTTATTATTTCTTTGGTGAGCTCTGGCTGTGGTGAGAAAGGTTTTATGGAACGCCATTAGTTTCACAAGTCAGTCAATAGAAGCACGCACCCCTATTGCACTGCATATTATGGTGTGAATTCACTTAGAAGACCAGTGATAATTTCCCTGCTCTTCAGCGTCAATGCATGCTTTGCTTTTATGCCTTGATGACATGCATCTACAGTCTCTAAACCCAGTGGTCACTTCACAAAACGGCAAGTGTGGCAGTGCAACTGCTCCCCCTCTGGATGAATGTTCAGGGTGCGATCATTATGCAGGAATATAAAAGAACAATAAACCAAACTTCAAGTGGGCTATTATTATCACGAGACCCTTGATTTTTTGACAGACATTCATTTAGAACTCTGAAAAACTACATGCATTATTTACAAGCAATACATGCGGCAGCCCTATCCCGAAGCATGACATGCAAGGTATATTCTTGCTGTTACCACTTGGCAGAAAATGCCAGAAAACTTACCTTTGGCATCAGGAATTCGCCAGGTAGAGCCACATCAGCTGTCTGCTGAGAGAAGTTGCTCAAGAAGCGGCACTTCTCCTCGATTAGCAGTGACCTGATACAAGTAAATTAAAACTTGTAAATCTTCAATAATAAGTTTCATAAAGACTCTCTTATGCTGAATGTGTACAGTATGTGCCATTGTGAAAGATACAGTGCAGATGCCCTGCAATAAAGTAATCTGAATACAATACAGGTCCCAAGCACTTCACTGAAGACTGCATAACAGCCATACATTATTATGCATCTTGCACTAAAAGAACAAACGACGTAGTAAACAGTAGTGAAGATGTATGAATGGGCATTCTTTCGTGCATCACTACATAGAAAGAGGCTTGCTAGCTGCTTACTGCAAGTCAATGTAGCATGTTGTACGTTTCATTATTTATTTTTTTCACTTTTAAACCTTTATAAGAAGAAGTCATTAAGGCTAACTAAACGAATTCCCGGAGAAGGCAAGTGGGTTAGGGGGAGACAAGAATAGGTGGGCAGATGAGATTAAGAAGTTTGCGGGTATAAATTGGCAGCAGCAAGCAAAGGACCGAGTTAACTGGTGGAACATGGGGGAGGCCTTTATCCTGCAGTGGACGTAGTCAGGCTGATGATGATGATGATGATGAAGAAGAAGAAAGATCAGAAGCTGCTGCTGAAGAGCTGGTGGGTAGTACTGATTGTTTTTAAAGCGCTCGATTTTTCCCAGCAATCCGTGCAGCTTTGCTTATCTCAAAATTTTCTCTGGCTTTATAACTCTGAGTTAACAAGGTATTACTATAGTGAACTATATGGTGACCCCGCTACTCACCGTAGCGGATGATCACCGAGGGTTCACGCTTAGCGAGCCACAGGGCCGCGACTTCGTCACTTACTCGCGTGTAGCGTACCGCTCCGCGCGCGCTCAACTAATAAGGCGTTTAGCGCGGCGCCGCAAACACACAGTGTTCCAATACAAAACACACAACAATTTCTTGCCTTTGGCGGCACCCCAAACAACAGTACAACGTCCGCTCCCTGGACGTGGGGAGCAAAGGCACCCGCACGCAGACGTTCACAATAAGAGGAAACCGTGAGCACGTCGCAGCTGGCAATGGCGAACTTTGACACGCCGGTCGAGAAAAGGTCCCTCGCGGCTATGCTGCGCACTCTTACGATGGCCACTGGGCCTGGTCGCGAGTGTTAGGGCAAACCTCGTACACGTAGGCCTACGGCAAGTGCGGCTCGGTGTGGTACGACCACTTCAAGCACTAGGCACCCCTGTGGGCTTCGCGTACACTACCGAAGCTAGCACTCAAGTAAACACGCCTGCCGAGGTTCCCAAGGCCACCCCAGGCAGTCTACAATCCAGCAATTCCCAAAGGGGACGCGGACGAAGAAAAACATGAGCTGACCTGGCGCCAACCACGGAGGAGAAAGCCCAGCTCCCTCGGCGCGCACGTAACTCGTGCCACCCGCAGTGGCGCCATCTATCGTCACGTGGTGTTAGCAGAGCAGAAAAGCAAAAGGGTGTGGCCCTATGGCGGAATGCCCGCGAAATGGTCGCGGGCGCGCCTCAGATCCCCACAACTATTGGTTATAACAGAAGCAAATGAAGAATAGTTTTGCAATAAAGTGTTAGGAATATACCTTTGTAACAAACTTTTTTGATATTATTTTCATGTAAAATACAAGTTCATTAAAATTGGATTTGGGTGTACTTGGATGACTCGATGCCATTTTAAAATGCCATTCAGAATTGCAGCATGACTAAGGGAAAGGCAAATTACTGGCGATGCTGGAGCCAAGCAGGATAGCCAGGTGAGCCAATAGCAAAACCATGTCACTTACTTGGGCAACAGCTTTGTCTTGGCTTCCAGGATCTTGATCCACTTCTTTAGCTTGTTGATCAGGTTGTGCAGCTTCATTGCTCCTGGTGCACTGCAAGATATCAGATGTCAACAAACCGACATGAAAGAGGTGTGCAGTGGATCTGTGCCAGAGTGTAGCCAGGGGGTGGTACACCGGGCACGTGCCCCCCTCTTCCCCGAAATTTTTTTCGCCATGGCATAGAGAGTGAAAAATGGCCATTTTATGAGGGTGCCCCTCCTGACATCAAATGGTGCCCCCTCCCTCCCACCCCCGGAAAAAATTTCTGGCTACGTGCTTGATCTGTGCAGATTATCAGTGATGTGCTGGCAACTTCAGATCAGATCAGATGTGGCAAGTAACTGACATCCTATTATGCTTACAACACATTCAGCCATGTTGCCATTAAATTTTACAATTTTGACTAGTTGTTTGATGCCAGCCATTGCCAAGTTATAGGCAAATCGACTCAAGGTTTCCAATCGCCGTATATACAGCGCTTGGGGATTGAAGCACTACATAGAAACTTTAAGCATAATGACTGGTATGTGTGATCACTCAAAATAACTACAGTAAAAGCCCTTTATAAGAGGCATGCTCTGAAAAGCAAGTCTTGTCTCTTATAAGCACGGTACCATTTTCCTATTAACCCGTATCTCACTGTAGGCACATTGGTGTCTCACTCATTTCATTGACAAAAACACACACTAAAGAAATAGCCATCACGACAGACCCTGGAGGTGGATACCCATTTGCTACAATTATGGAATACCAAATGGGGATTATTTTTCACTGGAAAGTGTAGACGAACAACAGAATGCTGAGGACAGGAATGGTGAAAATAATAGCGGAAACAGAAGAAAATGTTATGCAACTTAGCCCAGCATAGTGGTACATTTTCTGCGACTCCCTTGGTAATATGGCCAAAGACATGGCAATACTCAAAGCTATCCTGGACTCCACCACATAAGAGGGACATATCGCCTTGCATTGGTTATTACACATGCACCCAGGCAGCTGAATAGACCGCATCAAGGCCAACAATACCTGTGGAGATCCTGCTCCGACACCTATTAGAAAACAAGAAATTAGAGCGGCCATTGCAACCACCACCCACGACAAAGACCGCATTACGAACACCATGATCAGCCAAAAGCTCATGTACGTGCTAGCAGCTTCATCGATCAACACTTGGAACTAAGTACAGTGCCAGCTATGTGCAAAACCGCAAAATTCTCAGAGAAATCGGGCAGTCCAAAGAAATAGATTCATGATGGTGCTCAAACAGTCGGATCGCCAAGGCCACATCGAAAACATGTTTAATGCCTCCTAGCATATATATCAGGCATTTTGGTGCGTGTCCAGGATCTCGTGAATATGTTCAGTACATGCAGCCAACTACACTTAACTACATGCAGATTGCCGATTGCAAGTATGCATCAAGTGATAAGAGCCGCTGATACCAGTAAAGCATGAAATATATTACAGCTCTTTTGCATAAAGCGTTTGGAAACAATGACATAGAACACAAAGACTGCGGCAGAAGTGTAGTGTATGGCAGTACTTCTAGATGGCGGTACAAGTCATATGGTGTAAAACAGTACTGCCAGTTGGCAGCGCATGATGTACTGCTTTCTATAACAAGGGCTGCTAATAAAACAAGACACCACTTGTCTGCCCGGAGACTCGGCTGATGTGTCAGGTACTCGCCGGATCAGCTGAACATGGTGTCAGAAGTGGGCGGAATTTATCTCTGCTAATCCCGTGCTTGTATCCTTGTTGCATGGCTTCGCCGTCGTCCCCGCTGCTATGTCTTGACGACTACCTGTGTAGAGGGCTCCACCAGGATGTCGAATTCATCGGCCTCTCTGTTTCTACCAAGCATGGTTCAGCTGCATCCACTGTCACCATTTGATTTTGATAACTCCAGCTCCTAGCCCACATGGCTGTTGCATAGGCTTGGGCGAATAGTGAAATTTTAGGTTCAAAGCGAATTCGAAGCAAATAGAGATTTCGGTTGCATAACTTTGAATAGAATTCGAATACAGTTAAACCTGCTTATAACGAACCTCCATATAGCAAACTCCTCTATATAACGAAGTTTTTCTATTCCCCACTGTTACCCCATAGAAGCACATGCATTTGTGACCTCTATGTAACAAAGAAATAGTGGAAGACATCTATGATATAACAAGTTTTCATCGAGGACAACTAGAAGTTTTCCTCCGAGTTTCGTCATTTTGGTACGAGCATGTATCCTTCACACTTGCCCTGTCGCCGACAAAGCACGAAGTGGTAACGCCGCGCTCATCAACCCAGTGACTTTCACGAGAGAACGAGTGCTCAATGCAGGCAAGTGGGCCTGCGCCACACGAGCGGGCGTTGCTGTCGTTCTTGCTGCCACGGCCGCCCGCATGTGCAGATGTGCCCTTCCCTTTTCTTCAAAGCAAAAACAAAGAAAGAAAACTACTTTCGCGTTGTCAGTGCCATGCTTTTATTGAGCGTTACATATGTGGGGCCGCGCTGCATATGGAGAACACTTTGCTAAAGAATTTTCCGTGGTATCCACGTCGTTGTTCGCTCTTCATTTTCGACGAAACGCGCACATGTGTGGCTTCACTTCCCGTGCATGGTGTGGCTCCTTACGACGTTCAGCTCTTTCTTTTTACAGATGAGTCAACAATTCCGAGGCGATGTAAGATTAGGCGCTGATGCATGCTCTTAGAGGCTACAGTGACTACACATCTACGAAGGTAGACGTCGACGCGTAACGTGTTTCCTGTCATGCGTCGAGTCGCGAGTTCGCAGGACCATAGCCTTCGCAATTAGCTGACTAGCTCTAGCAACAACATGACGGCACTTTGAAATGCAATGCGATGAATGCGATAGCAACAAATTGTAACGTTCTATAAAGTAAGGCTGGCAGCAAACTCTTTTGGTTTGGATAACATGGAACTTTTACAAAACCTTGGTGTAAGCAAATACGGCCACTCCAGAGAGAAGTGCTCTTTTCACAGTCTCTTCGCATTGAAAGAGCGCTGATGCTTGCCTAGATAGCGCACGCGCCAGTGATCGCGACCTCGCCCTTGAAATCAAAGATCACTGTTACTACTGGGGTGAACCCCCTATTTTTCTTGCTCGTTCAAGACGGGTGGTTTCCTTTCTGTTTAAGTATTATTCGACAGCACTTCTAACACTTGGAGAGATTTTATTGTATGCGCCCTCCAGGCGATAAGAGATGAGCTGCCTCATTTGATCTCTGCTTCAGCAGCACTCACATGCTTCTACCCACTCGTGAAAGTTACGGTGCGCAGGGGCACATTATCGATTAAGACAAAACATGGCGGCAGCTACGAAAACACGCCGAAGTGTCCAAAAAATTGCTATTTCAATTATAATGCAGTTTCTTTACGGCTCAATAAGTGTTTTGGGTTAGCTATGTCTTCAGCTCCCCTTTTGCTTAATTTGAGCATTTATTTTTCTACTTTTCGTACCGAACCTGCATATAATGAAGAGCGCACTACGCCATTTGCAGTCACTGTGAACAAGGCTCCCATGTGGGGAGCCGAAATGTCTTTTCAAGTTTTGTGTATTTCACCTTGGTCGGCGTTTTTGTTATTTTTCAATATAATGAAATTGTCTTTATAACGAATTTTTCCAGAACTTTGCCAATTTTGTTATATCCAGGTTTAAATGTATATAAAGAAAAATGGGCATCTTTATCATGACCTAACTAACCTGTACAATATTCGTTAAAAATTGAAATATGGCCTCTATGCAAATGCCTTTTTTTTCCGTTCAAAAGAAGTCGAAACAACTTCGAGTAGTAGCAGAATTTGACTTTCGGTAGGATGCGAGTGATAACCAAGAAATTATGTTGCATTTCAAAATTTATTATACTTAGAGCATATAAGTCGCCACAACAAACTTTTATCCTTAAAAAATCATGAATTGATTTGAGGGTATTACGTTCATTTAAGAAGTCTTGCAAAACTTTTTTATATAGCCATGGAATGGATTCACTAACGAAGCTCATTGTCTCAATAATTCACCATCGCAAGAATATTTAGAATCAGTTCAGTACGAGCGGAGTTGCAATGATTTTTCTGACGGATGTGATGCGGCCTTGAGAGGAGACAGGGCTCTTGGGACCGAAAAATTAGCCCAAAAATCGAATTTTCAAAAATGTTATTTTCCTATTCCTTCTACCATGAGGCACCTGTTTGCAAGTTCTCGTTTCAAAATCTCGCGTATTAGCGGCGTAACAGTAAATCAAAGGTGCGTTGGCATACCCCCAGCCCTTTAAATTGTGGACAAATCGGGCTAATTTCGGCTGCCTGCACTTCTTGAACGGCCCGCTCCTACACGGCAGTTTTGGTATCGTTGAAAAGCTCTCGTGTTTTGCACTAAGCTTGCCACTTGTTCATATAAAAAGGAAAAAAAAGTAAGCTTAGCAAATTGTCATTGGCCACTTCCGATCATGTGGCTGAAATGGCTTTTGATTGGCTTAGGGTGCTGCATTTGAAAACCTGGCTAGCTAATGCGTCATTTTAGCTTAGGTTACAATCTTATGACGAACACGTCTGGAGGACCGAGAAAGTTCCACTCGATGTATCAGATCAGCCGAAGGCGAGCTGAAATGAGAAAAAAAAAAACATGCGAACGACACGACATCTTGAGTTTCCACAAGCGAGCGTCGTTGCTTCGGCACCCGATAACGGCGATGGAAGTGATTGCGGTCCGCACCACAAAGGAACGGTATCGCGCTGCTCTGCAACCGATGATCAAGCGACTCGCGGTACCAGGGCATCCGACTACACTGGCGCAGGTGATAGCGGTCCGCGAGATAAGGGCATGCCGTCGTCCGGCTTTTCAAGCAATCAGCAAGCAACCTGCGACGATGCAACTCACAGCAATCCTTCCGAGAACGACAGCATTCTTCACGCCGACTACAGCCTTAAGCGAGTTGACACTGAAGCTGTCACGAGTAGCGACACAGACCAAGTGAGGGCTCGTGAGCAGCTCATGCCTGAATGACTAGAGTCGACACTGGCGACAGCGCGAAAGATTGT